GAATGAATTTATTAATTATTCCACAAGGTTGTTATTTATTTTATTTATTAATCAAGCATGACGTGTTAGTATGTTGAGTAAAAGTGGATTAAGTCGAAATGGCTAGGTGGATTGACTATGTTCAACATAAAATAATTTGGAAGTTTAATGAAATTAAAGGTCAATTTGTGATGTGATCACCATTGTCCTAAATAAGATTAAAAGTAAATTGATGTACGTATGATTTTTATGTATGGTCTATTTGATTGAGTCGGCTATTAATTAAAACTGTAATCACGTAAAGTGAAACATGGATGAGCAATAAAACTCTAGAAAGCGTGCACTTCTAAAGTATTGACAATTATGGGTTGGGGTACACGGTGGTAGCCCGTGGCTTTTCGAGGCTTGTTTGATCAACATGTCCTCTTTTCTTTTGGTATTTACATTTTTATTTTATAATGAAAGTTAGATGAGATCCTAGACTAACTTTGTGAGAATGGAGTAGCGCCATTCTTGCATCGCGCTAAACTTTTAAATTAAATGGTCATTTGGGACCAAAATGATTTGGTGGATTGGACAACCTCGTCTATTGCTTACTCCAAATTAAATTAATTAAATTAAATATAAAGAGTCAAGTGTTTGGAATTGATTAGCAAGCATGTTGAGTCGATTGAATTGTTTAAGTCTGGAGTCTTGATTAATGAATTCGTGTTGTATGTTTATTTACTTTAATTAATTGAGCATGCTAGGTTTTGTGCGTTGTAGCTTGTATGTACTCAGCTTTGCTGATTGCGTGCTTTTGTGTGTTTTCTTTTGGTCATGGCCTTCGCCTTTCAATGACCCTGTGATGATCCAATTATTACACTTGTTTTATTGGGGAGCAGTATTGCACAGGTTAGCTTGATGATGTGAAGTTCGGGGATTTGACATACACATTGTCAAGGGATTGGTGTGATTGAGAGTATTCGTTCTTTGTGTTGAACTTATTTATGTTTTACTATTTTAATTATGTTTTGGGATTTTGAATATTGGTTTGGTTTTAATAAGGGCCTTTATGGTTCCAATTTGTAAGCTTTGACTTATTGGTTTTCTAAATTATATTATTTTAAGATGTAAGTTGGATTTCCGCTGCAATACTTTGATAAAGCCTTAACGTTTTAACTCGTGGCGGTAACATGCCAATGATTCTCCTCTATTTTTATTTAAAGTAAGTGGTTTGGAAATGGGAGAATTATTGGGGTGTTACAGTGCGCGGCATGCTGGCCACAAGCAACAGCAGCCCACAACTCCATGGTGAGGGTAGCTGGGCCGAGTGCACGGCTAGCTTGGCCGTGTGCAAGGGAGGAGTAAATGGGAGCCTTGAAAGGGAGGACATGTGGCGCATGGAGAGGGAGAGAATGAGGAGCAAGTTTGGTCCCCCCTCTCCAAGTGGTCCTCACTTGCTCTCTCATGTATAGTTGACACTCAAGAGGCTAGCTTGCTTAAATAATTTTATTTTACTAGCTTGTTGAGAGACAATCATACTCTCATCATTTCCTATAAATACCCAAGGGCATTGAAAATGATGCTTGATTAAGAGTTGGAAAAGGGATCACTAGTAGTGAAAACCTTTGAACTCAAGAGTTGGAAAAGGTATCACATTTTGTGAAAGCCTTTGAACTCAATTACTCGGGTTTATCGGGTCGGGTCTTGTTAACCCCTAGACAGTGGACCTAGTCGGTGATCATTGTTGCGGGTGGATCATCGTTCGTTATTTTGAAGCTAGCTTTCAAGTAAGAGCCCAAGCGGTCTGGCGAAGCACGCTCCAAAGGTAATCGTTTTATCTTAATCTTGTGATTAATTTAATTATGTTTATGGTTTTATTTATTGCGAGTGTGGTCTTGTTTTTGGGTTTGTTTCCACGGTGAGTCGGACTCACCAAACCCCAACATATATTGCACCAAGAAGAGCTAGCTAGTAAGATTTTATGTCATACAAATTCATACGTTGTATAATACAACACCGATTCAGCATATTAGGGAAATTAATTTTACATAGCACATTACTTGTATATCTTTGAAACACTTGAAATATTTTACTAATCTAACAATTAAGGGACAAAGCCCATGATTAATTGATTATATATTATATTGAACCTACATACATTTTGCGCAGTGTGCTGCATCACTTAGAAATTATAATAGCTTATATTAGTTTTGATTTTAGCTTAACCTTGAAACCATTTTTCATACAAAGAAGTAAAGAGAGATCGATCGAGGATAGGATAATATCCTTGTACGGTCTCTATATTGTAGTTTTGATGATAAAAACAGTTACTACGTATTTCAAAGTTGCAACTAATATGTAACAGATCGAGGTAGTATAATTTTCATTATGGTGAAAACCATCTGCTTTCCCAAGCAAAGCCTTGGCCTTGAGCCAAACACCAAAATCTTGTATGATGGCTCATGTTTAATCGTCCCACCTTCAGTTATCCACCTTTCGGGCTTGAACTCGTTGCAATCTTCTCCCCATATTGATTTCATCCTTCCCATCACGTACGTATTTATGATAATTTCCGTATTTGGATTCACTTGATGGGTGATTTGAATTGTGATTGTATACTAACCGAGGATAGAGTCTTAAATATTCACATAAGGTAGAATGAAAATATATTAGCTGGTCGCTAATTATATTGTAAAAATGAATGAATTATAATATCTCTAATTTACTTAATAAAGGAAAGGAATACAAAATATTATGTAAAATTTAAACATTAATAAAAGTTGGTTGAGATGGTAAATGTATTTTCTATATGTATCGAAAGTTATGGTATTGTTATTTCGGATGATATACTACAAGAGGGGGGTGAATTGTAGTATGTTCCTAGTGCCTACTTTTCGCGGAATATAAAACTGATTGCTGTTAGGAACTTAGACAATGCAAAGCGGATTTTACGAGGAAATCATTCAGGGCCCAACTGGAAGTAAAACCTCGACCCTACCTTAGGGATTTCAAACACAAACCACTTCACTATAATAGGGCAAATACCAAATTACAACCTATTAGACACGGACCTTTATTTCACAAGTTCCTCACTGAACTTGCTACTTGATAGGACCCTATCCTACCCAATCTGAGCACCACACTTAAATTCACTCGTACCACCAAAGCACTACACGTACTGCCAAAGTACTAAATACTTGTACCACCTAAGTACAAAACATCAGCTTCACCTAGAAGCTTACACAAACTACTCTTACTATACAATTATAACGAGGATCCTCACGAACTCTCACACCCCAATACATAAAACACTCAAAACCCTTTTTCCCAATTACAAGATCTCAAAGAATAACTCTAAATACATACCAATGAATAAAGAGATAAAACTAATATGCTGGACACTCGAGATCTGTCTGGAACTTACTGGACGAATAGTAACCGGAACCTGACTGGAACTTCGACCTGGAGGTTTGACTTAGCTTCGTGGTGAAGGATGAAACCATTAAGCACGACCACTAAGCTTCATCAGCCTCGACTTTGAATGAATACATATGAGCATATTTATAGTACACCCAAATCATCCTTTTCGTAACAAATAAGTTTTATTAAAAGATAGACATAAAAGATATTTTCCAAAAATAAGTTTTCCAAAAATATATCTTTTGTTAAGAATATATTCTATCAATAATAATAAAATATATTTACCATAAAATCAGATTTTATCTAAATCTTATATTTTCCAAATATACTAATATATCTTTTAACAAAAGATATACTTACCATATCTTTTTACAAAAGATATACTTGCCATATCTTTTTATAAAAGATATACTTACCATATCTTTTTACAAAAGATATATTTACCATATCTTTTAACAAAAGATATACTTGCCATAAAATTAGATTTTATTTAAAACTTATTTTACTGAAAATATTTTCCAAAAATAACTTATCTTTTTCCAAGGGATTTATTAGAAAATAAATATTTTTATTCTGTAAAACCAAATCCCTAAAAGATATGCACGTATTAGGTAAATATTTATATCATTAAATTCGACCTGCGACCTTTAACGACGTGCAGACCTAAGTTCCGATTAGGTTTTGGAACTTTAACAATATCTGAGTTCCTGACAAGTCAGTACCTCTAATTTCATTGACTATCATGAGTTCACCTTGGTTCTTTACACTTGTTCCAGACTGACTTTTATGTCCAACATACTTACATGAATCCTAGAGCGATATACTTCGATTTCTCTGTCTTCATGTTGTTTCTTTGAAACTCTTGTTCTGGAATCTTGTAGTATTGATGTATTCTAGATCTCAAGGCAACGTTAAGTTCTTGTTAGGGAACATGCTCCGGCTCTCGTGGGAAAGCCTGCCAAAGGTTCCTTCTGCATCTCATTAGAGAGTATCTTCTGGTTCCTTCAATTCATGGTTTGGTTCTTGTGGGAGAACCTGCTTTAGGTTCATTCATTCTCTCTTGTTCCTCTTGAAGTCTTCTATGTTCACTACTACAAAATTGGCCAAAGAGACCGCTTCATCAAAAGTGGTCTCTTGTTTAAATGCTGAGACCACATAGCTAAAATAGATGATATCTCTTTTTAATTTAATAATAAATAATATAGAGGAACAAGAGACCAAATGTTTTAAATAGGTGGTCTCTAGATTTAAAAACTGAGACCACCTATTTTAAATGAGTGGTCTTTGGTTTTTGAATAATGAGACCACTTATTTAAAATAGGTGGTCTCTCCATGGTCATTTTTTTTAAATTAATAATAAAAATTATATATATATATATATATATATATATATATATATATATATATATATATTCAATTGATCGTACGTATGATCTGAATTATATTGATTCCCTGCAATTTTGCAATTCATATTCCTGCTGCAATTAATTTTGGCGCCAATACATATACATACACATAAATTTTTCATATAATATATATATATATATATATATATATATATATATATATATATATATATATATATATATATATAAAATCTTTAATACAAAAACAAATTCTGTCCAACAGATTTGAACCCAAAATTTACATTAATTTTAATATTCAAAAACAAAAGTCAAAAGTAGAGCTTTTCCTCCAAAAAAAAAAGTTCAAAATTGGAGCTAGATGTACAAGTATAATGATTAACAGTAAGCTAATTTCATACTCAAGCTCATCTCATTCTTCATTAAGCTCATCCATCACGAATCTTCTTCATCTGGCTCATGATCAAGAACATATTTTATCCACAAATCTCGCATTTCATCAATGTCTTTCGAAGAATATGTACAAATCGAGGGAAAGTAAAGATGACCTTCTGAAAGACCTGCAACATACAACATATGCCATCAAATATGAGTATAATTTATTTATTTATTTTTGAAGGAAAGTAAAGAGATATTTATCCAAATGCCGAAAAACAGACATAACAAAGCACTGCACATTGATGAACATCCTCAATCCACAACCTTAGCTCACTTTTTTTTTTTAACAAGAAAAGGAAAAATATTACAACTTATTAGATGTTAAAACATCTTGCATATCAGAGTTTGTGAAGCGGGAAGGTGAAGGAAATGGGTGATGAAGCTGAGACTAGAACTAATACACCAGGGTTAGAAAAGGTCAAAGCACAAGGTCAGCACGGAAAAGATTAGTTTTCTGAGTGTATCAACCTGATTACAGGTTATGGACACTGAAAAAACAAAATAAGTTTGCTTACTAGTATGATTTACAAACCAATGCAGCCTCAAAGGAAGAAGAGTGCCTCGAAGTGGATTGCTCCCTCTAATGGTTTAATTAAGGTGAATGCGGATGCTTGCCTAGCTAGTGAAGGTTGGGTGGGGCTCGGTGTGGTGGCAAGGGATCACAGAGGGGAGGTTCTCTTCTCCGCTGTCAGACGAGTGAGAGCTCAATGGCCTGCAGAAATGGCAGAAGGCAGAGCATTGTTATTTGCCATTAAGCTTGCAAGGAGACTCGGGTATTAGGACTTGCTGCTTGAATCAGATTGCCAGGTACTGATAAATAGGCTATCAAAGATGTAAATTACAGTCTTAATTTTCATGTAGTAGAATCTTAATTATATGCCAACCTGACTGATGCTGATAAATAGGATCAGAACTTCAAGGTCAAATTTCATTCCTAACTTAATTTCAAGACTGATTCAAAAATGAAAAGTAGACCTGACAATTAGAACTACAATCAGAACTACAGACCTGACAATTTCAAGAACTGCATAAGCTGGTTATTTTTGGTGGTTAATATGATTAAGCTGCATGCAGACTGCAGAGTTACATTCACAAGTCCTAGTTGGTTAGAGCAACAGACAGACAGAGTTACATTCACATTTCAGACAGTTGGTTTCACAGTTCAGAGTTACATTCACAGTTGGTTTCACAAGTCAGAGTCGGTTTCACAGTTCAGAGTTGGTTCAGACATGAAGACAGTTGGTTAGAGCTGAGGATATTTTATACCAATTTAAATGACATATATTTATAATAATATACCTGCTTGGAAACCCATAGCACTCTTTTCTGCACAATGTCTAGCATATATCGACAAACAAAGTACCCACAATACTTGGTGTATGCTGGTTGACGAGGACACTATGATAATGCAAACAATTAATCATTAACAAGATATTAGATTTTAGGATTAAACTGCATAATATCAACTGCTGTAAAAGTGATGATAACTTACTTGTGGTTGCTCCCACCTAATATATGCATTCTTTTTTATTTTCTTGATGTCCTTCCGATGGACCGAGCTGAATTGTTTGATTCCTCTACATAATTACATGAAGATAGGAAAATTGTAATAGTTTCCAAATACACAGTAAGAACAAAATCAGAAGTTATTGACACAGTTATTGCAATTATACATACTCAGTGATGATCTTTTTAGCGAATGAGTTGATTTTATTTTCTACTCCAAGTGGATCTAGCCAATACACCAATCCATTCCACGGACTAATAACAGCTAACGTCCAATGCATACTTTAAGAAGAATTTATTAGTAAAAATAGGATAGCATAGCAATATAGAAGCAATCAGGTTAGCAAAATTGAAATTACATATATTAAAGCATAAATAATGAACAAGAATACCAATCAAAGTTACATAATTACATAACAAAGGAACTATACTTACTTGTCATTAAAAGGAGCAAAGAATAGCTGATTATAGTTCTTCCCCTCATTGCACCCAAAAACACGAGCTAAATAGGTAGATCAAACTTGGTCGTTTGTCGTTGGTGTCAAAGGCGATAGAACATTTGAGTCACAAAACCCATACATTCCCGAGATACCTTCTTTGTGACAATGTTCTTTCAAGATCCTTATCCCATCAAAAGTTGTAAATATATTAGAGAATGGACCAAAAATATTCCACATTGTAATTGGAAACTAAATTGGAGGTGAACTTACTTCATGAATATATTCATTTGCGATTCTCCAACCTCCCTTTGGAAACACCAATCAAGCAAGTCTTCGTAATCAAGTGAAACATTTAACCCATTTTCATTAAGAAACATGCTCTCTGGAATAGTGATAGAGATGGTATCGCCGGTCTTTTGCATCCCCATAGCTTTTTTTCTCATCACACGCATCAAAGTAGATGCCACCTTCTCACGATCCTTGTCGGTAATAACATACTTACGAGTTGTTGATGCGTGGGAGGATGTAGATTGTGGGGATGGTGTGGGCGAATCAACTTCTTTATCTGATTGGTTGTTCGCCTTTATAATATGTTTTCACATGAAAAATAAAACAAGACTATCATAAAAAATGCAAGGAACAACACACCAAAAACTAAGAGGGGATAGGAACCCGAAAACCTAGTTGCTGCCGCTGCAGGCAGGGCTGCTGCCGCTGCCACAGTAGCACTGCAGGCAGGGCTGCTGCCGCTGCAGGCAGGGCTGTTGCCGCTGCCACAGTAGCGCTGCTGCACACCGAAAAAAATATGAAGAAGCATAGACAGTATGAGACAGCAGCTTAAAAACAAGGAAGAATACTACCTTTTTGGGGAAAATCAAATGGTTAGGCCAAGCTGTATAAGATCTCCTAGCATGACATACAAAAAGCAATTCATTGTTTGGGCATGGTAGAGGAGCTGTTGGCACAATATCTTCAGTAATTGTGACTCGACCATGACCAGGGGGCAACGATGTGTTATGATTACCAAGAACTACCGTGCTGCTTTCTATGAGGACTTGTCCGTTAGCAACAACTTGTAGAGATTTGTCGCTTCCCTCGATTGCCAAGCAACATTCACTCCATCCCTAAAAATAATCATATAATCATATGTGCAATTCATATATAAGTTTTGATCTTCAGGTCAGTTCTGAAATCATCGGTTCTAAAATTCAGTTTACATTAGGATTATGCTAGATTTCAGATTCTGATTAGGAAGGACATAACCTCATAATATGTGCAGATATAAGCTCTACTGCTAATACCATTAAAGCTACATTTCATATAATCATATGTGCAAAGTATGGCTAACCTCGGGAAATGTATGGTTGCTAATGGTGTCCACAACTTGACTTAGCTATGCGGGAGTTGTGGTATGTGCAAATTGATCGATATGGTTCACCTCAGGCCATTGGACACGATATGGATCTGTCTCGAGGTTATTAAGATGAGGCTCATGCACAATAGGGCTGTTTGTACGATGAGCTTCTGCATTTGACTCAATTTCATGTGCATAGTAAGCCTCTTCATGAGATTTATCCCCTGGTGAATCGTGTCTAAATTGTGGCCCTTCACCATCATGGTGTTCCATACCTCCAATTAAGAGCTGTGTCAATGGGATCTCATGATCAAAAGTGTTGTCTATATGAGCATCATTGAACCCAATACCACCTGCCCCTTGGTTTGTAGAACCATTAGAGTCACCACCACATTTAAAATTATTACCAGAAACACCAAGCAGGCCACCTAAACCTGTAGTGTCAGTGTCACCACCAAAAACACCTTGCTGAGCACCACCAGCCATAAATGCTCTCAGTTGATCTTGGTTTAAGCATGACATCATGAATGACACAATAAAATTCTGCTGCTTCATCATAGATGCCATCTTTGAGTTCATTGCATTCATTTTAGCATTCACTTCACTAGGTGCAGGTGGTTTGTTGAACCCAAAGTACTCTGTGTTAGTTACTCCAGATCCAACACCCCTAACAGAACCACCTCGTTCTGGCTTGTCCAACGCTCTTGCTAAGATGTCATCTCTACCGGTAGCGAGTATTTCACCTTTTTGTACTTGCGCCTCCAGCCTAATCTGGAAATTATCGCAAAGAATTATATAAGTCACTAAATAATAATCTTAGTGGCGGAAAAACAAGAAAAACAAATGCTAATATATCTTACTATTGCATCATGGATTTCCTTATCTGCAGGATTATCAAAAGTTAAAACTCCATTCTTCACGTGAGAATGAGCTTTGATCCAAGTCAAATGCCGAGGCACGTATGAAACATGTACTCCTTGCTTCTCCAGCTCTTTTTCCTACCATTGCAAATAAAAATAGAAAATATAGCTGAAACACAAAGAATTTCAAATTTCTAAAATTATCAATTGAGTTCTCTATTTATTCTTTTATTTAATTAACATGAAAGAGCATGGTGAGGAATGAGCACTATGAAGTAAAAAACAGAAGGTTCCAGCATTAAGAACACCACTAATACCACAAAGTAGTAGTTATAAAATGTTTAGCATATACTTACAATTGTTTCTTCAAAATATTGATAGCCAAGTCTCCCACCTCGATATTTTGAGGTCCTCTCCTTAGAACTTTCACTATTTCTTTCACTCAATTTCTGCAATAAATATATTTAATATCAGAGTTAATCCACACAAATTTTAAATGTAGAAAAAAAAATAAAGATAAAATAAATGCCAACGTAATGAGCTTGCACCTTGAAGTCCCTAGAATTACAAGCTTGAATGAATTTTTCCCAATCATCTTTAGATATGAAAGGATATTTCATTGGTGGAGAATCATTGATTGTTCCATCTTTCAGGTACAACCACTTGAGCCTTAATCTAGTCTTGAAAGCTCTCCATCGAACGCAAGCTTGTTTCATAATCCAACCTTTGCGATCCTCAAGGACATGAAACCCCCTCTATATCCAAAAGAAATTCAAATATTCGTCACATTTAAAAGTATCTATATATAATTCAGTTTCTCTTCCTTTAAAACACAAAAACATTATTTACATACCGAAATATTGTCATACAAATCATCAATGAGTGCTTTTGGCATGTCTGACCACGTTCTGTAGGTGATGCTCACTTTTTCACGGACAACTACACTAATGTAGGTGGAGAAATGACCTCTATGAACACCGATAGGGATTCTCCTAGTTGTATGCCACTGTAAAGGGATTTTTGTGCCAACCTGAATAGCTCTCCCAACCATTCTGAGCACAGTACGACCTCTTTCTTCCTCGCATTCAGAATTGTCCGTTGCTTGCACTTGCGATTTCTTTCGAGCCATCCTGCTACTACACAGAAGGTCAAAAATTAGAGTGACATGAGTAGTTAATTTCATAACAAAAAAAACTCAATTCCAAAAAGTAAACAGAATATGCTATAATGACTAAGATGGAGAAATTTAGATAAGCAATGAAATTATTAAAATGATAAAAGCACACATTTATAATTCAAGTTGAAAAAATAAAGTAACAACCATAAAGAATTAAGGCAATGAACTGTCACACACCTATTAAGATTTTTTAGCGCGCTTTCGCTTGGTTCCCTTTTTTTCTTTTTCAACCCACATGCCTTCATTGTGGTCATCCCTTACATATATTGAAATATCATCGGCTACATCATCCTCAATATGTCCTTGTACCTTTCGCGTAACATAAGCATTGTCTAACACACTATCATCGCCATAATCATCATCAATATGTCGAGGATTCGGGGTTATAACTGCTGACATTTTCTTGTTTGTCGGGTCAGTCATATAAAACACTTGTTTTGCTTGACTTGCTAAGATGAAAGGATCTTCTTTATGACCAAATTTGTTGAGATCAACCAATGTAAGCCCAAAATCACTATGTTTGACCCCATTGTTATTATCAACCCATTGGCATTTAAAAACAGGTACTGAAAAAGTAGAGTAATGTAACTCACAAATCTCTTCAATAACCCCATAGTACCTCATCAAACCACTCACAGGATTTTTGTCTTTAGCACTGGCAAAATGCAAGGCTTCGGCCTCTAAAGTAACACCACTATTCTGCATAGTACTTTGTTGATCTTGGAACCTTGTGTAAAATGTGCAACCATTTATGACATATCCAGAATAGTAAGTGGCATTGAAATTAGGCCCGAATGCCAAACTCTTCAATCGATCAGAAATTAAAGTAGAAGAATCCATTAGCTCTATCATTACTTGATCTTTGAACCAACTAATGAATGATTTGCTATGTTCGGCAGCTAATGATTTCTCATTTTCCTTTCTGTTGCACTTCCTCAAGTAACTCATGTGTTGCTCCACATATGGCATAACTTCATCCTCATTATGAAGAATGTATGAATGCGCCTTATGCCAATCATCATAAGACAAGTCACGCTGTTTTCAACCTATGGTCCCCTCACCATCCATTCTTCCACTATGACGAGATACAGGAAGCCCTATCCGCTTTGAATTCAAAAAAAAGTCACCGGTATGAGCAAGAACTTCTTCATAAAACAGTCGTTCAGCTATACAACCTTTCGGATGAAAAACATTCGTCACATATCCCTTATAGGTTTTCATTTTCCTCTCAAAACACCACTGATTTCTCATGTGAACCGGACCACAATATCTAATCTCTCTAACTAAGTGGATTGGTAAATGAACCATAACATCAAAAAATGATGGAGGGAAGTACATCTCTAATTGACACAAAACTAAAACAATTTCATTCTCCAAAGTAGTCAACTCTTTAGGATCAATGACTTTGCCATAAATCGCATGAAAAAATCCACATAGTCTGATAATTGCAAATCGAACATCTTTAGGCAAAATTGAGCGAATTGCAACAGGTAATAACTGTTGCATCAAAACATGGCAATCATGTGACTTTAGGCCTACAAGTTTCAAGGTTTCCATATTCACAAGGTTGCGAATATTAGAAGAATAACCCTCGGGAACTTTCACTCCTGCCAAGCTTTCACAAAATTCGATTTTCTCTTTTCTTGACAAAGTGTAAGCAGCAGGAGGCAAGTATGTTCGACCTGTATAATTATCAATAGCATGGAGTTCACCTCTAATCCCCATATCCTTCAAGTCATCCCTCGCTTTTTTGCCATCTTTAGTCTTATTATTGATATTCAATAAGGTACCAATCAAACTATCACACACATTCTTCTCAATATGCATAACATCAAGTGAATGTCTCACAAAAAGATGTTTCCAATAAGGAAGCCGCCAAAGAACCGAACACTTTTTGAACCCCTGCGTAGAAAGGGCCGATTTATGTTTCTTGCCAAATGTGATGTCAATATTTTTCACCTTATCGAATATCTCTTCACCTAAGATGACTTTTGATCGCCCTTTAAACTCTTGCTGCCCATTGAACACATTCTTTCTCCTGCGATATGGATGATTAGGTGGCAAAAACTGACGATGAACAGGATAGCCATGCTTTTTAGATGCATTTAACCACATTCCCTTTCAATATTCCATACCGATGGGACAAGCTGTTTTCCCCTTCACAGTGTACCCCGAAAGGTTGCCATACGCCGGAAAATCTTGGATAGTGCAAAATAGCATTGCTTTCAAATTAAAATTCTCATTGCGATAAGCATCAAACACTTCAACACCTTCTTCCCAAAGCATAATCAAATCATCAATAAGTGGAGTCAAATACACATCGATGTCATTGCCCGGTTGCTTTAGACCTTGAATTAACAACGACAAGAACATATACCTTCTCTTCATGCACAATGAAGGAGGTAAGTTGTAGGTCACTAGCATAACTGGCCATGTGCTATATGTGCTACTCAAGGAACCGAATGGATTGAACCCATCCGTAGACAATTCAAGGCGTAAATTACGCTTTTCTTGGGCAAAGTCAGGGAATTTTCCATCAATAAATCTCCACTGCGGAGAGTCAGCTGGATGTCTAAGCATTCCATCGTCAACTCGACTATCGAAATTCCATGTCAACTTCTTTGCATCTTCTACTTTTGAAAACCATCGTTTGAACCTTGGTACTATAGGAAAATACCATAAAACCTTCGCTGGTACTGCTCCTTCCCTTTTCTTGTACCGTGAAGCTTCACAAATTGGACAACTCTCTAATGATTCGTATTGATTTCGATACAATACACAATCATTAGGGCATGCATGGATTTTCTCATAAGGTAAACCCATTGGGCTTAGTGACTTTTTCGCCTCATATGTACTATCAGGAAGAACATTATCTCTGGGAAGCATGTCTTTCACTAACTCCAATAACATATTGAAACTAGTGTCAGTCCAACCATGACCCGCCTTCAAGTTATATAACTTAATAATAGCGGATAATCGCGTGTACTTGGTGCATCCTTCATACAATGGCTTTTCAGAGTCACTTAACAAGCTCTCAAGCATTTAAGGGTTGTCATCAAGTTGATCCTCAACCGCATGCAACATGTCCTCTAACTGATCACCCTCATCAACATCATGAACTACACACACATTATCCCTAGTCTCACCACTATCACCCGCATGCATGTCTCTACGTTCCCCATGCCAAATCCAATGGGTATATGTTCTATCAAATGCCCATTTATTTAAATGATTGAGAATTTCATCCGGTCTCTTATGCAAAAAATTATGACACATAAAACAAGGACAACGTAACTTGGAGCGACCTCCACTATTTTCAAATGCAAATTTAATAAATTCCTTAACACCTTGTTGATATTCAGGGTCACCTGGCTTTGTTGTTGTTGTTATCCAACTTCGATCCATTTCTAAGCACGAAGAACAAAACACAAACTCCTCAAAATCTATTAACACATGTTACTTTCATGAGTCATTCTTAGAATATTCATAACACAAAGACCAAATAACAATTAAAAACAGAGGAAGGTATGCAATTGGTGGCAACTAATTAAATCCACATGAACCCTAAGCATTATTTGCCAGAAACAAACCATAAAATCCTAATCACTAATGGAAAAAAAAATACTCCTACCAATCAAACAATTTTAAATGTGGCATTAGTTGTAAACAAATGAGCATACATTATAGCAAATAATTTATTCACTAATGGAAAAGAAATACTCCTAGCAATCAAATCCTTAATTGCAGCCCTACTCATAAAGTAACAAGTCTTACCTTCCTTTAAGTTGGGGGAACAGGCTAGTTTGTCCCGAAATAAGAACACAAATGCCACAAATAGAAGGTTTTATTTGAGCTAAAATAATAATGTGACAGAATTTTATAATGCCAGATTCTATTTATAAAAAAAATGTACAAGTTCAGTAAAAAAATGTACAAGTTCAGAATTTTATAATGTTAGATTCTAGTTTTTCTGTTCACTTTTGCTCTGATGATTTCAATGATCAGCTCTATCTTGATATAATATAAGCTACTTTCCCTTTTGTGTTAAAAAAAAATGGGCATACATTATAGCAAATATTTTATTCAACTTTTAAAAAATCCAAACTTTCGCGGGAAAATCAAAATCCAATAACTCACTACTGTATAACTGAAAACAGGATTCATATATGAACAAGATGAGCAGATTACTATAACATCAATAGAACATTGTAGCAAACAAACAATAAACACAATTACACGATTCATATTCAAAATAATATATACATAAAACAAACAAAATAAATATGATACCTAGCTTAGTTGCGGTGAACCTAATGGGGCTGGTTAGGGTTTTCCGTCTGGTCCTGTTGGCAGTGGTTGGCCGGAGGTAGAATGCGTCAGTAGTCGATTGTGGTCTTGTGGAGGCTAGCAAAGTTGTGCGAATAGCTAGGGCAGTAGTATCGAAATTGCGAATTCAATGCCCAAAACAACCAATCAATTGCTACCCGTGCGACTCTATGTGGTGCTAGTAGCGCAGTAGGCGACTGTAGGCGGTGTTTTCCGGCTAGTCGTGCGACCCTAGGTGGTGGAGCGATTGCAAGAGTCGGTACGTGTGTTTAAGGGTTTGAAATTGGGTTCTAAACTTCAAAAGATTGTAATAAATTTCATATAATGGGTTTGGAAATGAAAATGGAGGAAGATGAAAATGGAAAAGGTGGAAAACGGAGGTGGAAATAATGGCGGAAGAATCGACGAAGGTGGAAATAATGGCGGATTGAAGGAGGTGCTCTAGACTGTGTTTTTGGCGGTTGGTTTTGGGGGAAATAAAATAAAATTAATTAATTGGGTTCCAACCCAAAAAAAAAAATTAATTGAATTGGGAATGTGTTGACCATCTTGACTGGTAATGTAGAGAGTAGAGACCATATTAGACTTTCCACCGGTCTCTCCTTTGTTTTTTTTTTACAAAAAAAATTTATTATATGTATTTTAGAAAAAGAGACCACTTATGTAGAAAAATGGTCTCTGCCGTTTTAAATTAAAATTTTGAAAAACTACAAGAGACCTATTATTTTAAATAAGTGGTCTCTCGAAATATCAAAGAGACCACATATTTAGGATATTTAGTCTCTTGAAACTAAGAGACTACCTATTTAATTAAATGGTCTCTAACTTGAGGTCTCTTTGGCCAATTTTGTAGTAGTGATTCCAACCCACTGACTTCACCTAAGTCAGTTCTTGTCTTCACATAAACACTTAAGAGAAACATTAGATTGAAGTTTGTTTGTCACAAACAAACTTCAAGTGAGAGAACTAATTAAACTTAAAGCTTATGTAAATACTCCTACACATATACAACTCATGTATGCATAGTGTACTTACCTTATGAAGCTAACATATGCAAACACCTATTTACATAGTTACCTTCATGGTTCTTTAGCCATCATCATGTTTATCATTCATAACACTCATTATTGTTCTTGTTTCTCTATTGCTTATCATATATTGCTGCAAGAATAACTTGTTCTTTCTATGCATAACTTAACAAACACGTTAGATAGATAATCATCATTAGTTTACAATCATCAAAACCTAATTACTCAACAGGTATATATGCTTTCGAATATTATTCAAAGCATATTTTATTTTATTAAAAGAAGTGACTAGCTTACGTGGCGCATATATTTTGGATGACGACATAATACACACATTTTGAAGAGTGCCACGTGACACCAGAATCACCTTTAATATATAGTATAGATTATTAGATATTGTACATAAATAGACGGAATAAAAGAAATAAGTCTCTTAGCATACAATAACATGCCATGTGTCTACATATTGTGCATTTGCCGTTTTGAGCCGTGGCACACTTTTAAAAATCTAAGGCTTAAATTGAATACTAAAATTTGTCATTAAGTAGCAACGTAAGCTAAATTTACCAACTTTACCACTATAATTATTCCCTTGACAAGTTGTCATATGAGAGATTGGAACATATGTTTTCGTTTGTAGTTGTTTAATTAAGTAAAGCACTACTTCGTACTACATTTGTTCGTATCTCCATATAATTATTTAAGGCAAATCAAGAACAAAATCATATCATCTGGTTTTGAAGAATGGAGAAAATTTCCGATTTCGTCATGTAATTTGGTTTACTATATAGAAGTGGGGTGTTTTTGCGCAGCCCATTGTTTGTCAATATGCCGCTTCATCGTCCAGCAGTAAGTAATTGGGTGCATAAAATATAGTGTCTCCTTGTGTTTCTATACGACGCTTTATAAATCTGCCCCTTAAACTATGTTACCTATGAATATAATAATCCGGCTTTTGGCTATATTTAGTTCACTTTATTATTGTTTATGTGATCTGATTGGACTTATATTTTCTAATCTCATTTTAATACGGACCTTTTTTTTTTTTTTAATTTGACTAATCTTTGACAATATTTATATGCAAATCTATAAGTATAAAATATTTCAAATGAGGTCTTATTCGATTTACTACCTTCGATTTATATTAATTAGTTGCAATTTTGGAATATTTTATATCTCACAAATAATACCCCAAAGTTGCAACTAAAAAAAATCGAAGGTAGTATATTAATGTATATTATCTAATTATTTTTTAATTTTTTTAATAATATTTTTAAAGAGATTAAAAATTACAAATAAAATGATAAAGTCTAACCTTATCTTATTATTTTTTTTACATGAAATAATATGAACTTATTTTCTTACATTTATTTGATAAAAAATATGTAATAAGGTTATGAGATTAAGTGAACTAAACATAAGGCATGTTCAGCAGTAGCTTTAAGTGGTTTAGCCAAGTCAAATCAATACTTAATAAAACAATTTGTGTGTTTGGTAATTTAGCGATGGAAGCTAGGGGTTCGTTTGGCATTGCTGTAGTTTTCTGTTTTTTGGTTTTTTGTTGTATAAAAGTATATGATATATGTCACATAATGAATAAAAAATTATTTAAACTTATTAAAATCATAATAATTTTGAAAACTGGCAACAAAAAAGTGGAAACACTTTTTTTTTGTTTCTTGTTTTTGGTTTTTAGTTTTAAAAAAAAAAAACAGGAAACTAAAAACCAAAAATGATGCCAAACAAGCCCCTAATTGTTGTGGTTTTTTTTTCATATTTGAAGGTAACAACTAGTCAGTCACTACTATAACAAGCATTTATACTTAATTATTTATCATCACAGCTAACAACTTGTTAACAATTGACAATTACTCTCACAACTAACAACTAATTAATATCATACAAAGTAATTAACAGCTACCTCATCTACAACTATATTTTGCCAAATATGACCATAGCTAGTTGTATTGAATTAATATTCTCAACTTTTTTTTATTCTAAACTTTTTAAATAATTAGAAAGTAAAAGTGAGATATGGGAATTAAAAATAGAAGTAGTAGACAAAGCCAAGATGTGTAATTAATTAATAGTCCGAAATAAGCTTCATATCTTATTACGAAAAAGGATAGAGTGTAAGCTATAAACACTATATTTAAAACAATCAAAATAAACTTATAAGTGTAACTATTATTTTGATACAAAGTTAGTAGGATTATAATGATTTAGAGGTGAAGAGTAATCCATGGAATTGGTCTCTCTTTATGTTGTCTCAAAATAATTGGACATACATCACTAATATATACTAATTAAATTCTCATCCAATAATTGTATGGGTAATGATTTAATTAATGCTAATATTGTCTTACTATATCGAACCATTATATTAATAATTAAGCGTGGTGCATGCATGCATGAGCTTGAGTTCAATTACGTACGGACTAGTGAAGTACATATAATAATATAGATAGAGTGAGATAAGTGAGTGTATAGTACGAGTAGTATATAAGGAATTGATGTATGAACTTTCACTTCATGTATTTCTAAGCCATATTTGCCAAAAAAGAAAAAAAAAAGAGTAAGAAATACTTAAAGGCTCTTTATTAGTGGTAATCACCAAAGTATAATTCAGTAAACCTCTTAATTATATTCTTGACAAACATCATTCACTTTTATATATCCAGGTATGATGATCTATATCTTTCTCATTTACTTTATTATAGTATATGATGTGCTCTCTCTATTCCGAACTATTAATAACCACATCTATAAATATACTATTTATTTCAAATTGTTTCGCCTCAAAAAAGTTGTCTTTACATTAAGTTTTATTTGGAATGATTCTAATATGTCAAATTGAAACAAATAGATATGACATGACTAGTAGCTAGGAAATTTTTTCAGAAATGACCTTTTATTTTAACATTTTAATGGGATAGAACCTTAAAAAGAAATGACACTTAATTGGGACGTCAAGTTATTATTTTGTCGTTGATCAATCTGACAGGACCTTTGACCGGATTTCGTTGATTATGCTTTTTTTAGCAATAACTCCCATGAGAGTGACAAGTGACTTCAATTTTTCTTCTCTTCTTCCTCTAGCTAAACCACCATATCCGGTTGTTCACCACATCGACCATGTCCTACCACTATTAACCCACCATTCCACCACCATCCAATAGCAATCCTCTTCATAACCAAAAATTAATCACATGCAAAGTGTTTTTTTTTTTAATAAAAACATGTTGAGTCTATGCAAACAAAACAAATTATTAATATAATTATGTCAAATCTTTTGGAACAAAATAAATGATATTAATTTTCTAGCATCATATACCGTACTTATAATTTATTATTTCATAGTTTACTGAGAGTTTGTTTTGTACACCCGGATGTACCGTATACTCGAGGACATTTGCTCATTTAATCAACAAATGAGCAAATAATTATTAATAAATAAGCAAATTGTTGATTAAATGAGCAAATGACCCTTGGTGTATATAACAATTTCTACAGTTTACTAGTTGTAGGAATAATTGTTGCATTTTAACTCTTTTTTCTAATAAGATATACTTCCTAAGTAGTTTTGTGTTCCAGCTCAGTATGCCACTGCACATATATTGGATTTGTCACTAGTACGTAAAAAGTATTGATCATAAAGTACATACAAGTAGTTTAAAATAAAGATTGTAGTTATATTATGTTGTTGGTAACAACTCCACCTAAGATTAGTAACGGATCTAACAGAACTATTCTTTTTCATGATGTTTTATACTATTATAGATTATATTATTGTTATGCTCCCTTTTGATTTGTTTCACATCATTTTATATTCTATTTGAGTAATGACACAAAGTTACATACATAACTGCGGCCGGTTTACTTTATCAGAGGTTACTTGGTTAAGTGTTACTCGATCAGTTAGAGGTTACTCAGTTAGGGGTTACTCGGTCAGTGTTTGATGTGTGTCATCCGATTACACGGTATGACCAGCCACACAGAAAACGCGCTGGATCAACCTTATGTTAGTTTATGGCCTTACAAAATTTAAGATTAATTATGATCTCACAATTCACAAACAAAATAATTATGAAACTATGTTACATTGTTGCAAATCTCTCATGCTTATCATTAATCACAGGCCTAGTAGTCTAAGGAACATAGGTTGTTCTATACCTCTATGGCCAACAAATTTACATCAATATTTAATTTTTTTTTTTTAATTTAGTTGTCACATTACTAGTTAGTATCCGAAGTACTAATATGATAACTGTTTGTTTTTGGACATAGATAGTGGCAGTTAGCTTGCTTAGCTACGCTCAAAGCTCAACTACATTCGCGGGCTATAATTGTACCATGGGCCATTTCATATGTTGCCAAGGTTGTGGAGCTGTAATAAAATCAGGTTCTTTAGTGAAAGAAAGCACAAAACGTAAAATCTGCTGGAAATTCTGCAAAATTGTACTAAAAAATGTAGTAGCAGAACTTATAAAAGAGGATTGGAATCACAAAGATACTGCAATGTACTACAGAGGAAGACAAGGGCAAGTGAAAGGACAATTAATGGCAAATAATGTGCCAAATCTTTGTCGAACATGTATTAACAAATCCGAGGTTGAGGTTGAGGTTGAGGCTGAGGCTGAGGAGGCTGCTGCTGCTGCTGCCACGAAAAGAGAAGCTAAGGCTGCATTGGTTGTTGCTGCAAGGAAAAGAAAAGCCGAGGATATGGCTGTTGCTGCTGCTGCTGCTGCTGCTACGGCGAAAAGAGAAGCTGAGACTCGTGCATATTGCCTGATGCTGATGGTAGGGTGCTTCATTTGTGTATCAGTGAGTGTTGGTGTGTGTACTTGGTGTTTTATGAGGGGTTGATCATATGATAAATAATGTCTGAAGTATGTGGAAAGTCAGCTAAAAAATGTTCATCACATTTGAGTCATGTTATACATGACTAACAATCTGCACCACATACTGATGACTGTTACAATGTTGGCTTAATTAATTGATGGTCGTCTAATTGATCAACCATTTGTACGTGTGCCTTGGTTTGGTTCGATGTTCTTGGTTGTTTCTTTGAATATCATTGTACTATGATCAAGTGTTAGATATGCATTTTTTAATTATCATTGTAGTATTTATATTTGTTGTATAAGCTTATTAACTTAGTGCAATCGTACCATATATATGTCATACATGTTATTGGCTTCTTAGGTGTAATATTGTTCAACAACTATTGATTATTCATATAAAAAAAATGTGTTTCAATATGATATGAAAGGCGTTCAATAAAGTGTTGCACTTCTTTTTTTTTTTTTTTTTTTTTTTTTTTGTTATAGAGAAAGCTGTAAGAGGGACAAACATTGTAGACGTTGTTGGAGTTATGACAATAGTAATACAAATCGGAAGAAGTTATTACCGAGCTACCTAGAGCGCTATCGTTCTCTCGATGACAGTACACGAGAACAAGGCCGAGCTATAGCTCGCGGGTGAGCATGCAATAGCTCAGTTGCACACAAAGTTGCGGCAAGGCCGAGCTATAGCTTGCAAGTGGGTGAGTGATTCAGTTTCACACAAAGTTGCAATAAGGCCGAGCTATAGCTCGCAAGCGAGTGAGCGATAGCTCAGTTGCACACAAATCAAAGTTGTGACAAGGCTGACCTATAGCTCACTATCTCGCAAGCGAGTGAGCGATAGCTCAGTTGCACACAAAGTTGCGACAAGGCCGAGCTATGCTCACAAGCGAGTGAACGATCGTTGCACACAAAGTTGCGGCAAGGCCGAGCTATATTTCGCACGGGGGTGTGTGCGCAGCAAGCTAAGGCTGTTTGTGTGGTATGGAGTATAAAAAAAGATATTTATTTATTTATTTATTTATTTATTTTGTTTACTCGTATATATACCCTCATTGACCCTAAAATTGAGATATACAGTTTGTTATCTCTAAAACCCTACCTAAACAAATCAAACACAAATTAACCCTTTAGAGTTGTAACACGTGTCACATGTGACCTATTAAACAGGTTACCAACATGTCATGTTCCATACTTGGCAGATTTGGGTTAATAGTCATTTCATTTTGAAATAATTCAAAAATTATTTTATTTTTGAAAAACTACTTAAAGGCCGTGTTATTCTCGGTAAATTTTTCTAGGAAAATTTGCCAGGAAAAACCTTTTAAAGTGACCTTTTTGTCAGAAAAAAACCTTTTAAAATTTTTTTGGCCAAAGAAAACTTTTTAAAAAAATTTGTTGTTCAAGAAAGCCAAAACCCACTTTCCAACATTGACTCACAATTCTCCGGCGTTGACCACGTCTTTTACAACATGTGCCATGCACATAAACCTTCTTTTCCTAATTACACCCCACTTTGGCTAATTTCACACCTTTTTCCTCCAATTAAACACTCTCTCTCCTAGCGATCGGTAAAAAGTCTAGCACTTTCGCATATTATTCTACTACATATTTTTTTCCAGTTATTATAACAACAAACTTGATACCCGTTAATCCGTTATTCCTACCCTCCTAGTGCGACGATCCAACGCCGACGGAAAACTCCACCACTCCGGTTATCTCCTACTCTGAAATTTTGGACATTGATTATTTTTTTGGTGTTGGATTATTTTCTTTTAATTTTGACACAAATATCTCATTCTTCTGCAATCCCTAATCTGTGAAACAGTTCAAAATTTCTACTGCCTGCCAACTGTTTGTTAAAATGCCTCTTAGAACTTGAAAATTGTTTAATTCTAATTACTTCTGATTCTATTAATCATTTCTTAATTGGGGTTTTGCTGTTTAATTGTTTTTAGTGTTGCAGTTGTAATGGATAAGTACAGAGAAGTAAAGGTGACAAAATTTGAGGAATTTGTTGATCGTCGGTTGAAGCCTGATCTTGTTAAGGCCATTGCTGAAAGGTAACCCCTTTTGTTGAATTTATGTCTATCGATATTTTGAGCTGTAATTAGATGCTTATGATAGGAAAGAACTAGCCCTTTATGTGTTAATTTCAAAATTATGTTCCCACTATCTGAAAATTGGAAGATTCAAATAGGAAAAGTAGGGGAGCTTCAAATGGTTGAAATCAAATGTAAAAATTTGATGGGTGTATACTAATTTGATTGCTAAGCTATGGAAAATTTATTATGATATCGAGTTTGGCGTTGTTGAATGTTTATGATTCAATGAGAGAATTAGAAACTTGAGAACCAACATTATTTCCTTTATTATGGTGTGCCAACGTGTTCGTGTATCTGCTTGCAGGGACAAGATTTTTGAACGACAGAAGATATTGTATCCTTTTGCATTCAACTTACATGTTTGTCTTACCATTATAGTTTATGTTCTTGACCGTTTCTAGTGTAAATTTGTAAGTATCGAGTAAAGCTTTTACCTTTGATTTTGTGAGTCATTGATTTTTATGCATAGTTCAATAATGTTTTTGGAAGAGAAAAGCCTGTGAAAATGTACATATCTCTCATAGTCATCTCAATTATTTTGATCGTGCTTGTTCCATCAACTTTAAGTATTTGTTGCCCTTTATTTGTTTGAACAATAGCTCAGATTTGAAGAGGAACATACAGAATTTGGAAAAGAATAGTGTAAGCAGCCTCAAGACATTAGTTAATCTTGGATCTGAAGTGTACATGCAAGCGGAAGTGTAAGAGCTTGACCTGCCTTTCTGTCATATCTTATGAGCAAGTCCTGCTCCTTTGTCTCTTTCCTGGCCGTTGTTCATCCTAAGCACTTAATTATATATAAAGCTATATTATGAATAATACCATTTTTATTATTAATTTTTAATAATGTTTGTGGATATGTGCTTGCAGCCCTGACACACGCCGCATATTTGTAGATGTTGGATTGGGATTTCATGTTGAATTCACCTGGTCTGAAGCCTTAAATTACATCGCAGCAAGGGAGGAACGGCTAGCCAAGTAAAATAATCTTTTCTTTTTATAATCTATTTTAGTACAATCTTTTCTTTCTTGTCTGAAGACTTTGTTGTAGACAATAATGGTCAATATGAAAATGCTTTTGGTGGATATATGTAAGGTAGCAGTTATAGGGTTTTGCCATACATTGTTGGCTGGCTGTGGTCACAATTATTGGTGGCTTAGGTACTTTTTTTGCTCTCAACAACTACAAATGTTCCTTGTCAAGATGCTTCAATTGCTTATGATGTCATGTTAAACATTAACAATATCATCATCATTACCTAAATGCATTGAAAAAGGCTTCTGTTAGAGGCAGGGATAAAGTGGGTTGAATATGAGCAACCACTGGAACAAAAATGTGCTGTTTCTTCTATAACCATTCTGATATCATTGTCCACTATGACTATCACATTTAACTTTCGTGTTTGCTCCATTTGTAGGCAAATAGAGGAATATACTCGTATGATAGCATCAATCAAAGCTCAAATTAAGCTGGTATGCATATTTCTTGAACCATTTTTGTTGTTGCTTCTTAAGCTTGAGTAGCTATAATAGGATGGTTCACTTCTCAAAAGATCTTGAAATGAATAGTTGAACAATGTGCAATTATAACAGTGGCTCTCAACTAATTCATGCAGGTTTGTGAAGGGATACGAGAGTTGCTTCAGATTCCGGTGGAGTAATACCTTTTTTCTAGTGGTTCTTTTGAGGAATCTCTCCTGAAGTCCTGGACATATAGCATTATGGATGATCTACTTTCAGTCTGGAGTGAGCTTCTTTCAGGATTAATCGTTGGCACTTATCAAATCTCTAAAGTGATAGAAATGTAAAGATCAGAGCGAATGACAAAGTGATTATGTCTGCTAATTTAGGTTTTGTGATATTAGTTTGCTTGTTAGAAAAGCACCATATACATTTTTCTATCGATTCAATGAATAAAATGCCTTCTAGTGTGTTATAAATCCTTATCATTAATATGCCAGAGTTGAGTTTTCATATCCCATCACATTTATGAAACCAACTCAATGTATGTTATCTTCTAGAATTAAGGTCCTTTATTGACAGTAGTTACTTAAAAAAAAAATGAAAAAGCATTGCATACTACGTAGAATATAAAAGAAAATCCTATCTATGTGATTTCCAAATCTGCCCTTCTTTTTCGATGATAAAATGTCAAAATTTCTTATTTACACCCAGATACGTGAGATTGATTTTCATTGGGATAGATAGTTTTGGGTATTTTCAAGAAAGTATAATATTAAGACATTGGAAGTGGTTGTAACCCTGGATCAACTTTTTTTTTTGATGAAAAATCGTGCAGATCAGCTGTTAGAAAATCTGCATTTTGATTCAACTTTACAAGAGTAGTTGCATCCATGAAACAAATGTCTAAATTAGATTGAAAAAGGGGAATGTTTTCACGGTTCCTCTCGCCACAGGTCAGCATGATAGTTAATATCAGGAGCCATTTCTCCATGCTTCCTGCAAGAGTTTATACCTGACGACATCCCTGCCACATTTCCCCTTGGGCATCCAGTTAGGTTTCGACGAGGCAGATTCAATGCAAATGTTCTGAACATTGATCAAAGCTAGAGGTACACTCAGCTTATCCAGCTCATCATCACTGTTATGTGCTTTTCTTAGTAATGATGACCCGCTTCTCTTCTGAGCTTCTCCTAACAAACTCGAGAACAATGCAGCTGGAAGAGGTGAGTATACTACTGGTTTTGCAGCACAAGGAAAGCTTATAATATAATCATTTGTAGTCTCATGAGGATCCTGAGTAGAAAAAGAATAATTCAGCCAAGAAAATAGTGGAGAAAAGCTTACAGTTCAGCAAAGAAATATGTTACATAGAAGATTAGAAGAAGCAAGGGACTAACCTCAGATACAAAAGCCTCAAGAACTTCCATTGAAATGGGATCTGGTGAGAAATCATCTGGTTCAAAATTGGTGAAGACCCTTTTGAGAAGAGTTCCGCCAAACATTGGGCATACCTTAAAAGTTGTAACCCAAAATATCAGAACAAAGAATTTCAGCTGGTGAGTACAAACTTACAGGTTTATGTTCTGTTCTACCAATACAGGAGGAAATAAATGGCTAATATCTAATATATTAGAAGGGCGTCGCATTTAGCTATATGTTATGACCCCTAGAAACATCATTAGTTTAGGGCATGTGCATTATTACTGTCAGTTTCTGTATTTGAGCAAGCTGCAAGCCCTTAGCTAACAGTCTGTAACAGACGCCCTAATTTTGTAAAATCATCTAATTAGTGAAATAGGTATTTGGTTATTACAGTGTGTGAATTTTTCTTTCCAATGCCAGTTTTACTCACCTCCTTCCTTGTGGTGGCATCAGCAAGCATTCCAAGGGGAAGCCTCATAAGATCACCCAATGCGTTAAGGAGATGGAAAGCCTTGACGGCATCTTCTTCATTGGATTCATTTTGATCCTTTGATGGGTGATCATCTTCAAGACCAAAATAATCACTGAGCCATTTCGACCAGCTTCCAACCTGGTTACAAGTCAAGAAACCAAGCAACAAAGTCCATATCATTCAATCACTCTGTAAACATATGGAACAGAAACTACAAGAGGATCAGATACTACTGTAAGTTACTAACAGCATTTTTCAGTTGAGCACCAGCACCAAAACTTGATTTCCCTGCAGGAATGGGAAGGACTTTAAGTTCAGTGATGGGGTCTGACATTGGATCTGTTGGCATCTCTTCTGAATCACGAAGAATGGCATTAAACATCGCTACATCTAACCTATCCACCAAATGCTCCATTACCTAGAAAGCAAAACAAAAGTAAATATCACCACAGTTCTGATAGATGACATGCTAGTGTAAATGGTTGTGATATAACTGAAAAATCAGTGGAAACAAAGATAAGTACCATTTTTGACAACATTGGCAAGCAACCACAATCATGACCTCCAGCTCGAATGGGACAAAGCCGCTCACAAGCATCATGAAAAGCTTTCTTCCAGAGCTCTATTGAAAAAGTTCCTTGTTCTTGATCCCCTAAACCAAATTTCCATCTCTGAGTTTTCCTTGAGGTCAGCCTCTTTCCCTTTTTCTTCTTCTTTGCTGGCTGCATATGCGGGATAAAACTCTGTGGAAGTACACAAAATTTAGAAAAATAAGTACTTGATAGTGACATTTAACCTACAAGTGCTACAACAATATAAGAAGAATATCAATGGCACAAGTTGTACTGAAAGGATATAGGCAAAACCTGCCACCATATGCCCTCAACAATGCGAAAGAAGATCCAAGCTTCGACCTTCTCTAATGCCATGATGAATGTATGTGGATCTTCCCAATCACCCAAGCTATCTATTGAGTCATTTGAGGAAGATTTTTTCTCTGACTTTTTTCTTCCAGATTTAGTATCAGCGCGAATTGGTTCAGGGAGAGAAGGGAGATCTTCAGTTACTTGGCTCACCATAGATCTTAGTATTATCGTGTTTGATAACCAAAAAGTCAGCCTGTACATCAGCAAAGCATTCCAACACAAGGTCGTTCCAGTTCAAATCAGTAAAAATCAGTTTTATCAGGGGGAGTCAAGCAAATTCAACCACAAAAATTGTAACAAAGAAATGTTCAACAACATGAAATTTGAGGAATGGTAATACATGGTTTTATTTCTCGGTTTAGTTCATACCTTGTAACATCATTTCCACAAGCCTTAGAAACCATAACAACTCCTGAAACTATTGTTCTAGCAGAACTTGCTCTGTTAGTTTGTGATTCCATTCTGCAGACATGACGATAAAACCTTGCAAGCCTTCTAGCCGGTGCATGGACCTTCCTTTTAGAGTTCAGATGCTCGGCTATCACTGAATACAGTCCAATCTCAAGTGCAGCAGCTTCTCTTAACTCTTCCTCGAGCATCTTAATTTTAGACTCGAGTTCAGGTTTATTATCTGATTTTACATTCTTCTTTTCTTTCTTGTCACCTTTTCCCTGACTTTTGGTATCAACTTGCACCTCTTTTACAGAACTCTCTTCCTTTTCCCTGTCAAATAAATGCAAAGGAATAGGAGGACCATTGGACCTTGGAGAATCAGTCGGAAGTCTGACAGATTTTATGTGCTTCAATTTATCACCAAAACCTTGCAGATCAAGCCCCTTTTTCCCAAATTTTAGAGTGCTAATACTTCTAGAGGTCTGTTTTCTTGTTGTAGCCACTTCTGAGAATTTGCCAAACACATTAGTATTGCTTTCTAAGCTCCTCCTTCCATAGGCCCAATCATCTTCTCCACTATGCGTGTGTTCCTTTTTCTCTGTCGAACTCCTTGTCCTTCCTTCATCATTTTCAGGTACCTCTGCAGCACCCCCTAGCTCCGAATTCAGACCCACCTACAAAATTTCAAGGTTCAAACTCATAAATTTAAGTTACATTTTCTTTCCTGCTAATCAAGATATACTAGAAATATGGCTCTCATTACAGCATAAAACAACATAGAAGCATTATACATTTATACCAAGGCAAAATAAACAGATTCATCATTCTAAAACTTGAAAACACAATGCTATATACAATACACTTATTTACCAGTATAACAGATGAAATAAGACTACAAAAAAGAAGCTGCAAAATACTTACATTGACAAAGTTAAGCATTTCATCCATCTGAAAAGCAGAATTCCCTGCACGAAAACTCGAAGTCCTAGAAATAGCAGATGCATATCCGTCATCATCAGTAACAGAAGCAGGCTCAGATTCATTATCATCACCTTGCTCGCTCATCATTCGTAACACAGACTCAATCCCTTCATTGTCAAAAGGCTGAATCTGAACATAAAGGAGAGGCAGAGCATTAGCACCTTTCGAAACCTTTTTAGTAATAACGATTGGTGCTGTCATTGCCTGAACATCTCTGATGATCCCAAATTCTGCAAGGTTAATAACAGCAGTACCTAAAAGTTGACCTTTTACAGCTTTATCCTTTTTTGGCTCATACAAGTGAAACTCCAAGTTATTCTTCTGAAAACCATGATTATGATTGTTATAACTGTCTTTGCTCGTTAATGTGACCGGGAGTTTAAAGAACTCGTTGAACTCGATTTTCCCATCTTCGAAACCATTAAGGGAAGGCACACCAGGAGGTAAAAACCCGGAATTTTGCTCACCATTTTCCCATTGGATTAACACAGTTTGTACAGAACATAATGCAACTGAGGGCGGCCAAGGCTTGATCTCGAGTACACTTACAATATAGTCGACTTGAAAACAATTTCCCTTCTTCTTCTTCTTTCCTAGCAACATTACTATGATTTTACAAGAACAACAAATGAAGAAATAACCAATGTAGCTAAAAATCAAAAAAATGAACAAAAGTTGGAAATTTGGATTGAAAATTCTAAGAAATTTTTTATGTTTAAAAGACTAAATGATATTTATAAAATGAAAAATGCCGGTATCAGCGGAAATTATTGAGCCTTCCCATGTCTCATCTGTGAAACAGACTTCAGTGCACGTATCCCTCAACTATTTCATCTTAAAACATAAAATATTGTTATTGTATAGTTTTAATTTAATTTAATGGCCTTGGAATCTATACTATGGTCAAACTTTATATTATACAAAGTTACTTTTCTTTCTTCAGATTACGTTAATTAACTACTTATTCTTTAGTTTAAAAACAAAAACTTTTGTTAGATTCAACTTATTTCAATTCCGACATACTTGGCCATGTTTTTGCTAAACAACATGTGTTATAGTCCTGTTATTGTTTGTAGTTACATAATACAACATCGAAATGGAGGTAGTTAAAAAAATTATATTTTTATAATACACATTTAGTAACATCTATCCATATACAAAATAACACAAAAAAATGGTTAAAATACGGGTTAAAAGTCAAAAGTATGCTTAGTAACTATATCAGGATACTGGAAGTAACATTTTAGAAAACCGGTTTCCCAGATATCATTTAAAACTATAT